GTTAATAAAATATGTTTAAAACAAAACAAAGATTTAATTTTTTTTTTGTAATTAGGACAAACGTTAATTAATAAGTAAAGTATATACCTAATAACTAAAGTATATGTTTATATCAATTTTGGAACAGCAAGGAAATTTATATCCTTTGATTCAATGACGTTTCTTTATTGCTACGTTCAAAAAATGACCGTAGTTTTAATGTTATATTATTTCATCATGACCATAGACCCATAAATTTGCAATGTCAATCTGAACTGAAAAAAAAATCTTTGAGATATATATTTTTACTGCTCGTTACACTATTGTACAACTAAAGAAATACATGTATAAATACTGAATTAAAAGCAGATCCCCGATATCTTATGCTGGGGAAAATTACAAGGCTCATGAGGAAATCATCCATCCTTATTTATCATATTACATGTACATAGAAAAAATTGCAAACAATCGTGAAAATCTCAGTTTAATACTTTTTTCATGTGTCCAGGTAAAACACCAAGAATCGACCGTTTGATTATAACAGATTACAGTACAGCCGGTTATTCAGAATAAAGTGTAAAATTTACAGATTAAAGTGTAAATTTTACAGATTAAAGTGTAAAATTTACAGATGAAAGTGTAAATTTTACAGATTAAAGTGTAAAATTTACAGATAAAAGTGTAAAATTTACAGATTAATGTGTAGAAATTAATAATTAAAAAAATAATAAAGTGTCCAAGTGGCACTAATACACGTCCGTACTTTAGATGTAATGTGTGAATTCTTTAAAATATTTCTTCACGTGTCATTAAAGCAAAAACACACTTGAACTTGTGACCCGAATGCTTCCAGAAAAGTGTTAATATTAAATTATTGTATTAAATTACATAAATAAGTTCACGGAGTAAATCAGTTGTTGGTTATTTGTTAACATTAACATGTAGATTTATAGTTTTTTTTTTTAATGTGACATAAATAATAAATTCAATTTAATTTCAATTCTAGTAATAGGTTTGCAAATATTATTTTTTCTTTTCTTTTTGATTAGTATTATATTTAAGGAAATTGCAGGATAGATATGAACATTTTATTTTAAAATAAAAAGATATTAAAGTTAAAACATACGGGGTTAGCTCTTTATATATATATATATATATATATATATATATATATATATATATATATATATATATATATATATATATATATATATATATATTAGGGATGTCAACGAGTACCCGGTTAACCGGGTACTCGATCGAACGTCCGAGTATCGAATACTAAAACTGGTACTCGGTTACTCGGATGTATATTTTTAAATACTTCTAAGCTTATTTACTAATGCATTAAAACATCGGTTTTAAAACGTAAAATGTTCATTGCACTTCTACATACAGTAATTAGGGTTTCCTACGCCTCTAAATGACCGTTACCGCCTGTGGCAGTGTTTATACAGTAATTATCGTGACCAAACACCTGACGTACCTACCTGGCTTTTCTCACCTTCGACTGTTTTCTACCCTTATGTTTAGTTTGCTTTAATTATTTGTTTTCATCGAACATCGTTTAAGGTCCATTATATTTAAATAAATCAAATAATTTTGTCAATTCTCCAAGAAGCCGCAAATTCTCGGGGAAAGAGACAGACGATATTGCACGTGCGATTGTTGATATGGATGCGTTTGATTACATGCCAATTAATGCAAATGGTTGAAGGCAAATGCTTTAAAAATCTTATGTCCATTGTTGCTCCAAACTACAACATACCGTATCGTAATTTTATGAAATCTAGGATCAAAAAGTGTACGAAGATCGTATAAATCTCTGTTAACTTGATAAAAGTTTATACCGTACATGTAGCTCAGACAACTTATCACTTGGACGTCAAACGCACCAAAGAGTTACATTACAATAACCGAACAGATTAGTTTTTAAACAAAACACTGTGAACCATACATTTTATTTCTCGTATTTATCTGATAAATAAATTGAACTTTAAAAAAATGTTAGATTAAATTTCGTCCGCTACAAAGTGGTCATAATTTTTACAACGCATTTGCAGGTAACCTCCCATCGGTTTTATTTCTACAAGAGTTTACAATGTTTTACACTTATCAATTAACTTGTTCATATTTATTTACACTTTTACCGAGTACCCGGGTACTCGATCGGAAAAACGTCCGAGTAACCGAGTATTCAAAATTGACCAATTTGACATCCCTAAAATATATATATATATATATATATATATATATATATATATATATATATATGTTTGATAAAGAAAAGAGTTTTCGACTTATTTCAAAATATATAAATTAAAATATGTGCGGGAATGAGATAAAGTTGCCCTTTAATTGCACATATCTCCTTCCTTTGTAAATTATGTTATAACTCATGAAAATGCCATCAATATAATCTTTTAAGGATTACAAGAAAGTTTCATAGACAAATATCAATCTGTAGGTCATTGGGTTACTGGTTTACTGTTCTGAGTTTTAGACGATTTTAATTGAGTTAAATTATTTAATACTAGTTCATATAAAATTTAATTGCATGATAAATGTCTAGACAGTTTAGGGTTTTGTTCCGCTTTCATTCCAGTGGAACCCGACAGACCGCAAAGTGTATAACCGAAGAGAGAACAAAAAATAAAATCAAGAGAATCACATGCACAAAGAGTAAAATGAATCATAGACAGCAAGTTTTATTGAGTACAGACAAGCAAATTCAAAGAATTGTGGTCCCCTGCTTTTGATGTCTTTGTGGGTATGATGTCATTTTTTATGACATACTGTGTCAAATATGAACGCCTTATTATATGTCATTCAGGAGTTATAACCGAAGTGGATTTTTTTAAATCTTCAAGAGGTCAGAAATCAAAGTATGCTCAGAAATATCTCGTTACAGGTAAAGGACATGTCAAATGTGAAAACACTTTCTCTTCTCAATCAAAATTTATAAGGAAAATTTAACATTTTTGAAAAGCAAAAATGATCAAGGCCACGAGTTCGTCTTGTTACAGGTAATGCAGATCTTTAAGATATGACAGCACTTATATGAAGTCTATCTCTTTTCATTCAAAAGTTATGACCAATTTAAATTTATGTTTATATTTTTTTAAAAGTAGGTTAAACTTCAAGGTCAAGGGGCCAAAAATCATAGTGTATTTAGAACGGGCTTGTCACGGGTAGTATGCGCGTGTAATATGAAAGCATCTCTTCTCATTCAAAAGATATGACCGAGGTTAGTTTTTGTGACGAACAGACAGACTGAAAGACGAATGAGACTTAATGTACCCTCGCTTTCACGAAAGTGGGGGGGGGGGGGGGGGGAAAACGTGATGTGTGAAAAAAGAAATACTGATGTAAAATTATATTTTCATGCTGATGAAATCAGATTAACAGATTAACAGAACTCTGTTTATTTTGTTGATGAAATCATACCAAAACATTACAAAAAAGGTTTCAGAGATGAAGATAATTAATGAGTGACTGAATTACAAGAAAACGATACCAAAAATGTACATAATCTTAAACTGGTGAATAATTTGTATTTGATATTTACATCCTAAACTAAACAAATGAACTATGTACATTGTTTTGATGAAGACAGGTGCCTCTTCTAAAAGTGTGAATTTCATGACCCCCTGGGCCAGTAAAGTTTCTTATTTTTCTACTGGAATTGGCCACGAGGACTCAAAGACAATGAACAAGTTTTCCCTGACACACACACACCTTCTTGGTTATAGCTCATCCCCTTTTCCTTCTTTTTGCCAGTTTTGGTCAAACTAGAAAGAGGAAAAGGGAACGTTTGAACGGGGGAGGAAATAAGCACCTCCTTCTAATTGACCTGGTCTTAGAACCCCTGTCAATCATCTGAAATTAAACATGGGATCGGATACTTTGATTTGATTGACATTTAGTTTTCTGTTCTTGTGTATATCTGGTGTACCTTGTCTGGAGATGGCACCGACCATCGAATTAACATTCAGGCTACATCCTGTGTATAAAGGTAGTATACACAAGCCAGCGTCGTTCCCTCGGGGCTTCTCAGGCGCTTCAATTAAGATCCATCCCACACCAAACTTACCTGAGGAAAACCGACCGGTTGAAAACCTCGACCTAGGAAAATATACAAATCAGAAAATCATCAGAAATTATCAGAATATACCTGAAGCCATATCATATATTTATTATCATTATTTTAATAGTTCTAAAGACAAATATGACCCCATTATAGCTAGGTTACTGGACTACTGACACGATTTTTTGAGTAAAACATTGTGTGAAAATTTTAAAACTGATATGGTGAATGACTTTTATTAAATGTCTGGATGACCCCAGACATGCAATCCCTGACTGTGTCTCAGATTATTTCCGCGATTAATAAATTTTAAAAAATATTTTATTTTTATGATGTTTTGCTGAAAATTCGTCATTCGTCATTGGAAATGTTTTGGCTTTAAAGAACAAAGTTTATTTTTTTAAATTACGTAGACCATGTAGACTGTATATTATAATGTTATTCTTAGCTCACAAATCTATTTCTTTTTCAACTTCATGGCATCTTTGAACATTTGCTACATGTTACCAAACATGATACTTATAGCAAATATCGTGTTTACCATCGATTCAAACCAGTTTCTATGTTTAAAAAAAAATGTATTTACGAGTACTGTTAGTGTTGACGAAAGATTTCTCCATTATTTCCTAATCATGACAAGAAGCACACGGCGGGTTTGACCGGTCGGCAAGGGATGTACACTCCTCCATCCCACCTCTAATGTTTCGAAGGTCTGTGTTTGCTCTGCTCCTATTTTGTATTGTTTTATGGACGTCTGAGCATGAATACTGTTCGTTATCTCCATATATTTCATAAGTGATACAAATGTACCTATATTTTCATAGGTTGAAAAAAGACGGCCACTATAATTCAATTATCGGGTACAATATACACGCCTTCGATCAACACTATATAAGGGAATTTTTTCGCTTTAATGTATCAATTTAACAAAAGAATGTCGATCACAAGAGACAATTCATTCTTGAAAAAAGGAGACTTAAACTCTACTTCAGATCCCTTTGTTTCTTCACATAGGGAACATGGTAAATCAAATTGCAAAAATTATCAACAAGTTCAATGCAAGAAAGATCGTTCTGCCTTTAGAGAATATAGGGACCCACTGTTGCTTGCAGAAACTGGATCCGATAACAGTCAGCTTAATTCCAAGGGTGTTTCTAGGGCCAGAAAAACCAGTAACCTTCACCAAACAAGAATCAGAGGAATTCAGCTAAAGAAATCTACTCAGCATCGGCATGTCAAATCTGCCAAAAGTAAACGACATACAAAAAAATCCGGAAAATCAAGGCATGGATTCCAAGAAAAATCAAAAGAGAGTGCCAAACTGATCGAAGTGTTTGGAGGATCAAATGTTGGCAAAGCTAGTTTCATGCAACTTTTGAAACAGATCCAACAATCCATTACATCTGGTATGCATTTTAACCCCCTTTTTGTAGCTTGTTTCGATAATTATCTTAAGAAACGTAAAAGTTTTATTAAATTTTGCATTTCATGTTGAATTCTTGTAATTTAGATAAGCAAGCAAGTGGAGTCATATTGGAACACGAGGACTTGAAAACCCATCTGTTCTTTGAGACTTCAGAATTGTATCTAGAAAAGGTAAGACTTCTTTAATTTTTCATGTACATGATTGTTTTTTTTTTTTTTTGAATTACATTAATTTATGTGATTAAAAATTAATATGTTTTTCTTTCCTAGACTACAGATCTTCAGGAAGCAGATGCATGTGTTGTAATGTTTGCTGTCTCTGACAAAGCATCGTTTCAGTTTGCTAAACACTGCATCCAGAACATAAGAAAAAGTTATAGAGAAGACCTTCCAATATTTCTTGTGGCAAATAAATCTGACTTGATTCGACATCGTAAGGTCTCTCAGAATGGTAGGTTACCATTAAAAGTTCATTAAAACTGTAAACTGCTTCGCAAAGGGTTTGAAAACGATTTTTTAAAGTACAGTAACAAAAATAATTCATTGCAATTTTTCATTTTTTTCATTTTGTTTTTAATTTCAGATGCTATCAGAGTTGCAAACTTTCATAATTGCCAGTATTTCGAAACATCGCTGATTTTTAATTATAATGTTCCAGAATTACTTCAAGATATTATCACTCGAGTTCATAAAACCAAAACAAAAAGATGTCTGAGGTACATCCACAGAATGGCTGAAGCTTTTCAAAATAGGTTGAAGAAATTTCTTCAGTAAAAATTTACACTAATGGTACAGTTTCGTGTAATAACAATGATATAATGATTATCAATTGTAGTAGAAAACATTGATTCTCAAATAAAAACGTATTTACAACAGTTGTGTGTCTGCTTCTGTCAGTTTGAACAATTAAAAGCGTAAACGAAAAAACAAAACACAAAAACAAATGAACAACGTTGTAATTTTGACTTTACTGAAATAAAAAGTCATTTAGATGGAAAAACCCTACTTGAGTTCAGTATACCGGTATTTGTCACAAAAGCTTTTACTAGTATCATAGGCATAAAAAAACATAATAAGTCTGTGAAGAGATAGAAGCTCTACTGGATTGTGCTTTGACGTAAAATATATTTAATAGAGTACGTAGAATTCATCGGTTTCCCTCATTAAAGAAATTGTGTCTAAAATGCTCACTATAAAATATATTGAGTCGATCGATATATGAATGAAAATAATTATTGTTAATATAATATTCGAATGTCGAATTAAAGACCACATCATCATCATCATCATCTCTCTCTCTCTCTCTCAGTTAACAGAGGATTTAGACCTAAGTAGCACTCATTCTGTGCGGGTCTTTCTGAATGGGTTCAGTGAAATGGACCACATGTTATTATTTGTTCAATTAAATGTAACTTTTACTTAAAGAGTCAAGCAGGGAAAATTGACAAACGTACAATTTTTGCATGACCCCGAGCAAATTTTGTTCAATTCTAATAAAAGTATTAGGTTTCAGAAAATTACAGGTTTCAAAACCTAAAACAAAAATATCATGTTTATGGCGAAAAATAAAAGTAAAATAATTTCATTATTCCCCATAACGAAAATATTTCTTTACTTCTTCCTTCTTATTGCACGCGTACGCAGAAAAGCATAATAAAGTGACCATAATTACCATGGACTCAAGTATACTCAGGAATTAATGTAAGTAGACCAAAAATTTTGATGCAATCTTTTTGAAAAGTTGTTAGAACATATTTCTCACCTCTGCATGCTCCAATTGAATGTTGTTTACAAGTTTGAGCTAAAAATAAGTGGTGTGACCTTGACATACACGGTTGATACACACTTATATTGTGCAGTCTTTTCTTGCTTTACAGTGCAGTTTAATTGTCATATCTTTGCTATATACTCATAATTTTCATAAGTATTTCGCTGTTTGCTACAGATATCTTAAAAGAAACACATTATTTTAACTCACTGTGAAACTTTAACCTCTGGTTATTTTGAAAATTACTTTTTACGTTCTTGAGAAAACTGATACTAACTTTGTTTAATTGTCTCTTGCTCTTGCGAAAGCGCGGGTACATAAAATTTCATTCGTCTGTCTATCACAAAAACTAATTAACCTTTATCATACCTTTTGAAATATCATGTTTATGGCGAAAAATAAAAGTAAAATAATTTCATTATTCCCCATAACGAAAATATTTCTTTACTTCTTCCTTCTTATTGCACGTGTACGCAGAAAAGTATAAGTTACCATAATTACCATGGTCTCAAGTATATTCAGGAATTAATGTAAGTAGACCAAAAATTTTGATGCAATCTTTTTGAAAAGTTGTTAGAACATATTTCTCACCTCTGCATGCTCCAATTGAATGTTGTTTACAAGTTTGAGCTAAAAATAAGTGGTGTGACCTTGACATACACGGTTGATACACACTTATATTGTGCAGTCTTTTCTTGCTTTACAGTGCAGTTTAATTGTCATATCTTTGCTATATACTCATAATTTTCATAAGTATTTCGCTGTTTGCTACAGATATCTTAAAAGAAACACGTTATTTTAACTCACTGTGAAACTTTAACCTCTGGTTATTTTTTGAAAATTACTTTTTACGTTCTTGAGAAAACTGATACTAACTTTGTTTAATTGTCTCTTGCTCTTGCGAAAGCGCGGGTACATAAAATTTCATTCGTCTGTCTATCACAAAAACTAATTAACCTTTATCATACCTTTTGAAAGAAAAGAGGTCATAAGGCTTTTATATTTCACATGTACACTGCATTGTACAGATGACAATACCGTTCTAAATAAATTATGACTTTGACCCTGTAACCTTGTATATTAATATTTGAATAAGTTCTGACTGAGCAATTTTTAATTTTGCAAAATTTTACAATAATCTGAAGGTTTTGGTCTTAGTCGTAAGTTCTTTTGTAAAACGGGCCCCAGATCTCCGGAAATGTGATTTCTCTTTCGCATCCGGTTTCACGCGTAAAACAATATGTAGCGATTATTTTTTTCCGGTTTGTGTCATCGACTGATTGAGAATCTAAATCATCATTGACTGAGGTACTATACTATATATTTATTTTCATTCCTAGGGTATTACGTTACGCTACGACTCCCTATATTCGTAGGAAAAGTAGTCCCAAAGAACTGACACTGTCGGAGTATTATTTGGAGTTATTATACATATTTTAACTAAGTGTCCTATGCTTTGTTTATGTAATGTGTAAAGTTCTGCAGTTATGTAATGAACAGACTGATCAAGGTAGCTTTATTAGTGTTTTTTGTTCTTAAGCTTTTTAGTTACTGCTTTTATCATGTTTATTTAAATACAGTATTTTTTTTTTTAGAAAACTGATAACTCATACAATTTCTTCACTCGAGTCAATAAAACGGATATAAATGGGGTACCAAAAAAGTTAGGACATCTTTTACTTTGCCAAATCAGATGAGTTATTAAACAGTTGAATGATTTTTCATTCCATTACATTAAAGCTGATTTTTAGCCCTCTGAACAGAAATCAAAAATTAGCATTTTTAATAAAATTATTGACAATATTTAGGGTTTTCAAGGTTTTGTAGCTGTTAATCATAAGTACTGTACTAAAATCCTGGAAAAATATCCTTCTTTCTTTTCTGGATGGGATGCCTGTATTTCCTCAAAATGTCGAAAGCAGGCATTTTCATTGCTCATGCTGGAAATTCTCAAAATAAAGAAAAAGCAGAGCAACAGATGCAAATATACACTACATAACGACTTTTCGGGCTCATGTGTTTCAAAAGCATGAATGACAGTTCCTTGACCGGAAGTCCAAGGGTTACTACACTACGCCAAGTTAGAGAAAATTTGACCTCAGTATCTGAAAAACAGGCATTTAAAAATGCCCAAGAATATTTATTTCGCTCAGATTAAGACACTGATAAACCTAATGCATGGTAGCAATCGGGTTGTACATGGCGGACTAGCAAGATTTAATTGAATGGTCGGAAGGGGGATGTTTCAAGAGTTATATGTTACTTTATAATGTTTAAAGATAAGATTAAGAGTAAATTAAAAGTAAATTTACAAAACAATGATTCTTCATTTAAACGTTAAATGTTATCTTTAGACTGATTTTGCAAAGTAAAACATGTCCTAACTCTTTTGGTACATAGTTATATCCCGTATATAATTTTCACCCTAAAATTAGGGTGTTGCGTTTCTTTTGATTGTGAGTATATTTATTGTTTGGCTTACAAAGAAAATTGTGATAGCTCAGGACTTTTCTGAAAATATGGAAAATATTTTAAGCTACAATGAATATGCATATCTATAAAGTTGCTTGTTTTTTTATTATCCCTCTCCTCAACAGATAAACAGAGTTATAAGTTAACCCCCCTTACACCTGCATCCTTGGTCAGCATATACACTGTAGATTCCACTCTTCGCAAATTATTACCCCAAGGCTAAGGGTGAGGCCACAACATGGGGTCAAAGTTTTTTATGAAATTAAATGGGGTACTGGCATCTTAGGGAAGAGTAACTAAAGATGCATCTTACGGAAATACATTGTAATTATTAATCTTCTCAATGGCAACAGATTATGTCAAATTTTAAAATATATGCAAACTTTCCAATGTATGCACTGTTGATTGGATTTCTTTACACCATGGCCCTTGTAGAAATGTAGGACAACAAGAGACATCCAAGTTTTATATGGGATTAATATTTTTAGCACATCAAACCCTTTGGCAAAGGCTTATGGATATTGAATTTCTAAAATACACCTAACAATTTCTTTATCTATATTCTTTTAATTTTCCCTTTTTCCTGGTTAAACATTTGAAACACAAGAACTTTTAATGGGATGAATTACTTCAGTTTTAATGATTACGAGAATCATTTATATAAAAATGCATCATCTTTTTCCTTGCAACTTTTGTGATCAAAATTTGAATTAACGAAGTAAAATTATTCAATTAAAAGAAATCTCCAGCGGAACCCCAATTAATGGACCCTGGAGTTTTTGAATGATGTTGACAGCCCCGGAAAATGATGTACCGAAACAAAATATTTTATTAAATTCATTAACCATGATAATTTATTTATATTTTGCTATGCTAGCAACCAATTAAGTGTAGTTTTTCCAATTGTAGACTCTTGGGCTGGTGCCATAATATTGTCAAAATTTAATTCGATAGGAATGGTTCTCATTGTGGAACAAAGGGCAGATGCTAAATCCAAGCGAAAAGAAATCTTACGTGGATCGGGAGGTACCGGTATTACCTTCCCCAAGGATTTTTCAAATTTCAAATAAATGCACATGCCTCTTTTTAAAAATAGCGTTTAAAGAATTATGCAAAATTGCTACAAAAAACTACATTAATCAAAATCATTTCAATATGCTACTCCTAGAGTCTCTTTAATGAGCAAATTTGAAAAAGATTTCGTTCGATATGGAGAAGTATACAGATTTATCTATAACAGCTAAGCTGGGATCTCTCAAAGACATTACGTTTTTAAATTTGAATTTTTTTTTTTTTACAGGACATTTGACCTCAAAGGACAAAAACTTATGAATTTCTTGTGGTTATGTCTTTCATTCACAATAACATTAACATCTGGAAACAGATTTGATCCTCATGTATTTCCTAAACGTGGACCTTTTTTCGAGGGATGGTATATACGGTTAATAGATTCGGACAATGGCAACAGTATAGGATTATTGTTTGGGCAAGTATTACCTGACGTATCCAAGACTGTGAATAAATACCCACCTGTTCTCTGCAGCATTTTAGTGAGGTCGTGTTCTGTTACCGGATGTAGGCTTATCTCCCATGATGCATCTTTTAATTCATCCGACTTAAAAGTGAGAGTAAAAGGCAAACCTATCGATAAAAATCCGGACATAGCTTCACCAGTTAACTTTACATGGCTTGCTAAAAATAGTGCTTCCTTCGTTTTCTTCCAGACTAATGTCTCGTCATCTTCATTTCGTGTAAAATTTGATAACGTATCTCTTGATGGCGAGTTATCTTCCCCTGTTCCATGGGGCCCAGATGGCGAAGGGCCAGGGGGATGGGTGGATGAATTTCCACTTCCGCTACATTGGTTCGTCTACAGCCTTCGTTCATCTATTGTGTCGTACAAGTTTAAAAAACACAAAGAAATCATATTCGAAGGGAGACGTGGATTTGCTCATATGGAGAAGAACTGGGGTAAATCATTTCCCAAAGCGTGGATATGGTCAGAAGGAATTTCTCCGAATAACGTTACGTACGCTGTATCTGGTGGGCCTGTTCAATTTGGACCCCTTCCCATCACAGCCTATTTACTTGGCTATAGAAATCCTTTAAAAAATATTTCTACGAATTTTCATCCATATGATAGTTACATATCTGCGAAATACGATGGTTGTAGAGGATTTATAAACATAACTGCTAAAGGATTACTCCACTCTGTAGAATTATTTGTGACAGCAGAAATGTCGTCTTTCAGTCGATGTTTATATGGGCCAGAAACTCAAGGGTTTCGTCAAGTTTGTAAAGAGTCATACGATGCATCGGCCACAATTTCAGTCTACAAGTTCAAAGCTCTCATTGACAAGCAATTTCTCAGCAATGTTGCCCTAGAATTCGGAGGAGAAAATGTATGTGGCGGTTGCATGTCCCATAAACCATAAAATACATGTACTTGTACTTTGTTGGGACTGGAATTAAGTCCCATTAGCTATTGCAGAGAAATTAAACATCCCATGGTTATATGTACATGTAGTTTGTTTTCACAATAACTGCAACCATTAAATACCGTACAAACAAACGACGAAATACATTTTAATTATTTAATAGTTACATGTAATATGTTTTACGATGTGACCGTTTCACTGCTTACAGTTGAATCTTTGATCCGCCTCTTCAAACGTTAAACTGCAAGAGGCTGTGGTGTCATATGACGTCGGAATTTACAGAAACAGCGGAGTGTCTGGTTGTATAGTAGATGAAAATATTTTTTCTTACATTTAAGCTTTGTTCAAATAAAGAAAAGTAAACGTATCTTGGTAAAAAAAAAAGACAATTATTCTTGTTTATTTTTTCGTGGTCTTTTGTATGTTTTAAAACAAATTCGCATGAAACCCTGGTTTTCTAAACCAAAGAAAATTAGGTAAATTCGTTTAAATGTCACACGTGAACGTGATTTGATATATGACAATATTTCTTACATGTACACATACTTAATAATTGTGAATTAAGTTAAAATGTCTCTCTGCACGTGACGTGACGTATGTTCTTTTATAATAAAAATTCTATTTTAAAGTTAGGTTGTTGTAGTTAGAGCGAGTGCAATTGTACAGAACTGCAAGCATGATCATGTATGGAATCCTGATAGGGCCATGCAGTTCACTATCGCATCATCGCGGTTTAGGTCGATAGTGCGATGACGATGAAGCGATGGTGCGATAACGATGAATCATTCATGACTTCGCGCAAGTGAAAAGCGTGTCACTTTCAGCGTTTTACCGTATTCTTATTCATATTTATATATTTTTTAAAAAAAATTATTATACAGTTAAAGTATATCATTGTCAGAGGGAGTCAGCAAGATTTCAGTTCACCAAGAGCAAGTTTATTTCCCGAGACGCAGCCGAGGGAAATAGGTTTGCTCGAGGGGAACTGGAATTTTGCCGAGAGCTTCATTATGAATACAGTATTCAATCTGGAACATCTCGGTACTTTTCGTATGATTAAAAGGAATCACTGGGTGTTCCTGATAGGTATGACGACGCATCTTTTTGCAGGGAATCAGTCTTTTTACGGTGATTTTCAGGGAATCAGCAAAATACAGTATATCAGTTTACTTTTATATAGTGAAAAATCAGTAGAGGTATAATAATTTTTAATGAATATCTCTTAACGTAAACATTAATGGCACTTTTATCTTCATCCTGAACTTGCACGAACCAATTTAAAGTTCTGTTCTACTTTCGTACTGAAAGCAAATCTGTCTCAAACGTCAGCATTAAACTCCGAGATGGTGTTGCTGTGTATGACTGTATAATTATTATCTTTGATTCAATGTCCCTTATTTGTTGAAACATATGGAGATAACGAACAGTATTCCAGCATCAAAAGTCCACAAAACAATACAAAATAGGAGCAGAGCGTTACAAACTGATACCTTTTAATCCAATATTAACAGTTTCCTTAATAACACTTGTCAATCCTGTAAATTTTCCAAATAATTTATATTTTCCTGTTTTGAAACATAAATTGTCATATTTTATATAGAGAGTTCTCAAATTGATAATAACTTAGAAATACATAATATATTTTTTTATGAAGTGATATAAAAACTAATGTACTTCAAGTAAATACGGCAATAGTTGACTTCATCAGGAGTCATTCCCCATTCTTATTATTAAAGCAGTAGATTGAGTTTGACGAATGATTTCTACTTTTAAGTGTGGTGCGTTCTTAAAGTAACACTGTCTGGAAGTTGAGACTTCGAAAGACTGACCACAAAATTAATATGGTTGTAGAGAATCTATTTCGCGGAGTTTCAGACGAAAATAAAATTTAAGTTGGCGTGAACGACCAATTGCAAGAAAAAATCAAGATGGCGGCCATATGTACCTTGTGATTTTATATATATATTAATAAGAATATGACATATTGTTAATTGCCTGTCACAGGCGCTTGACATTTTTAACCTTTCATAAGAAATATCCCACATACTATAATAATTATAGTATAGGGGATATTTTTTATGAAAAGAAAGGTTAAAAATGTCAAGCGTCTTTCATGTCCGTGTAACAGATCGGAATATAGCAGAAACGATAACTCTGGATAAAAAAAAGTTCCATCTGCCGGTAAAATCTCCGTAACGAAAAAGCCCACCAAAGGAGATAATTTCGGAATTAATTTGTGTCTCCCGACCCCTTGGCGCACGGCAGAAAGACTCATATGGTGCCAGTCGTTTGTCCGTTTCAAATGTCACTGGTAATTACATGTATTAAGTTCATGATATTAAAGATCTATTTAAAAATCTAAGCTGCTAACGTGGGTTAAACACAGGCGTTTCTTATTAATATGTGATACGGATTTTATAAAAAGCATTCTAAAATGGGAAAGAACTTTATGGTATAAGTTTGATCCCAGTGTGGATGTCCAACCTTTATTTTGAAACTTATATGTACCGAACTTATACTATAGAAATGTATAAATAGAGATTATTTAGTTCTTTCAAGCCAAGGCTCAAAAAGCTAATACCATGTGCAATTTGTGCGATGTGCGTAAGCATTTTAGAATATTGGCCATATATAACTCAAGAACGTTCAACCCCTCTGCTAATCATTGTCAAATTTGTCACAGAGTATCCTTGGTCCAAGGACTACAATTAATACTCAAACTAGGGTTTTAAAAATATGAACATATTAAAACTGTAGAAAATTCAGAGTAAAAATTTTCAGCCCGTGCTCTGTGGTGTGTGCAGACTTTAACAATTAATTGAACACACCTGGTGAATCGTAAACATTAAAACAGAGCTCGTGTCCAGTTTACAAAAACAGTTTATGTTTCCCGGGTGTATTCAATTTGTTAAACTCTGTACAGAACACTGAGCACGGACCGACGATACTAGTGAGGGGTTTTACTTTCGAACATTTTTACTCTGAATTTTCTGTATTTATGGTTTTAATATTTTTCCTTAATACACAACAAAATTGCAACTTTTCTTCAGTATTAAGAATATGATTATAATTTGTGAAAGTGCAAGGGTGTGTCATCAAACCCGTCCAGAAATTCGAAGTTTCAATAACTTCGAGATGAAGAAAGATACTTATTATATTTTCGTGTGAAATGCTATTGCAATATATAAGTTGTAATATTATACAGAAAATTTGAGAAAATATTAACTGTCGATTCGGTCTAAGCAGCTTGAACGTCTGTGATCATCAAACTTTGTCAGTTGGCTTATATTTTCTAAAACATTTAAGGCCATAATTTCAGATTAGAATCATCAATTCTTATTCGTTGAGTACAGATGCATCTTTGGGCTTAAAACATATTTATTGAAAAGTAGGTCACAATGACCTACTTTTTAAATATTGCAGGCACTTACTCTCAAATTGTTTAAGGGGCATACATATCTTGGATAATTTCAGACCTATGATCATCAAACTTTGTCAGTTGATGCACCTTGGGTTCTCAGACAATGTGTCAACTAAAGTGTAGGTCACAGTGACCTACTTTTGAAAGTTTGTGGCTATTTTAATTTTTTAAGGTAATTATTGGCTTAGAATCATCAAGTTTTTTGAGTCGATGCATCTCGGGACTTCAGAGAACATCGACCAAAAAGGTAGGTCATGGTGAACTACTTTTAAAATTTTATGGCTAAATTTAAATATCTCAGGTAATTATTGGCTTAGAATCATCAAACTTTGTCAGTTGATGCATCTTTGGTCTCTTTAGAATGTCAACCAAAAATTACGTCACGGTGACCTACAATGTACTTATGAAATTTTATGGCTGCATATGTATTTTTAAATATCTCAGATAATTATTGGCTTCGGATATCAAACTTTGTCAGTTGATGCATCTGGTATCTTCGGAGAATGTCAACCAAAAAGTAGGTCACGGTGACCTACTTTTGAAATTTTACGGATATATAAGATTATAAGCAACAAAGGCGCCGATTTCTAACGATGAAAAATTTAGAGGCGTCCCGGAATTACACGGAAAATCGAGAGGGAACAAGTTTGGCACGGTTTCTGACCTCTCTAGATTTCCTTTGTAATTCCGGGACGCCTCTACATTTTACATAGTCGAAATCGCCACTTTCGTTGCTTTCGATTTCTGTACTTGGTATAGAGGACGTTTTGGGTTTACTGCATGTTTTGTACGGCAAGTTCAAATCGGCATACATTTAAAAGGCGTTATTTAATCATTTTTTAAGCTAGATCTCACCCGACACCGGTAGGAAAAATGTAGATATTGATTTAAATCAAATGTGAACAGAGGCACCCCCTGAAATCCAAGATGGCGAGTGTCACTCCTTTACTCTTTTTATATACAGTAAATATGACATTTTTAAAACGTGCTAATTTCAGTGAATTTTTATTTTAATTTTAATGACGGTATTCAGACACACCTTGAAAAACATAATACACTAAATACACCATCCTGAAACCAAGCGCTTATAGTTCGAATAATACTGTGGGATGTGGAGACCGGTCTTTTGGATGAGACCGTGTACATGTAAACCGAGGTCCCGTGTCGCAGTAGGTGCTGGTACGAAAAAGATCCCTCCATGCTCAATGGCCCTAAGTGCCGAGTATAGGGCAAAATTTGCAGCTCTCCAACGGCAAGTGGTGGCTTCTCCATATGAATGAAAAATTCTCGAGAGGGACGTTAAACAATATACAATCAATATACGTATGCATCACCCGGCTACTTTGAAATTCGTTATTACCAACCAATAAAATTGTCCTTACTTTAGTAGAACACTGTTGTGTCATATTACCCACAATGCATTTTTTGCACAGATATATCACAAGTTTATTGAATATACATCACAAAATTATACACTATACACCTCAATATTATTGAATATAATCACAAGATTTTGAATATGCATAACAAGCAGATATATAAAATTTCAATTAAATCTTAACAGGCGGATCCAATAAGATTGAATCAGTTTACATGTAGCTTTTTGTGTTGCAGTACAAATTAAAGTTTATAGAAGACTTGCATTTATTTTGTGTCTTTGACTCCGCCCCTGGACAATCATCTTTAAAAAATCAGCCAATGAAACGAAGTTTTGCTTTACGCCGAT